TGCCGTTCTACCCGCGGACCCGTCGCTGCCCTCGTCGCCGCCACCGGGGTGGCCGCCGCCGGGTTGCGGGATTCCTGCAGGCACGCGCCACTCTCCGGCCAGATGTTTCTGTCCCCAACGTCCCCACCCCGCAGCCCATCTTGTTCTGTGGCTTAGTTACCGGGCACCCCGACTCTGGACTGTCGGAGCCAGAATGTTTGCGCTTGAGCAGTAATGATGGGGTCCATTTTCGCCTGAGAGCGTTGTGTAATGAGGGAAACCGAGGCGCGGTGCTGCGTCTGAAGGGTCGACGCCGCCCGGCCCTCCCTATGCTCACCCGTCGGAGTTCAGGGTTGCCCCTGTGATGCTGTCAGAATAAAAATAATGTAAACAGCCTATATTCATGTCCCACCTCCACATTTTTCTTTTTTGTAACCATAAAAGGCCCTGAGTTTGTCCTCCTGCAAAAAAGGATGACCTTTTGACCTAAAAAAGAGAAAGTATTTTCCTGAGTCCTCTTAAATCACGTTTTTCAGCTTCTCTTGCTCTTGCTAGGATAACTAGGTTTCATTCTTTTTGGCATCTCTGTGGTAACTTCGAAGAGTCTGTACTTTGCCCAGGCTTTGTATATCAGGCTTTTCCCATCTGCGGGAAGGGCACACATTGAGTAAAAGATGCATATTGGGGTTGCCCAATTTTGTATTGTTTGATCTTGTAACCACTTCCAAAAAAATTAATGAAGACTTCTTTGAATATAACACCATAAAATGACTTAACATACCATGTTTATACTAGGCCAGAAAATACATGTTTTGTAAATAATAGTAGACAAGGTAAGTATTTGAATCAATTGGAATATTCTCCTAGATTATGATCTATTTTAAATAACTACTTGTGCCAAAAGAGAAAACAAGCTTTGCACAGACTCCTAGATATTTATATAAAGAAAGTGAGTTGGGGATTAGTCCACTGGGACCTATTGCATTGCCGTAGTTCTTTTAATACCTTACTGTGGAATACTCTTTTTTTTTTTTTTT